GTAATCAACCCGCATGTCAGCTATTGTGGAAAGTTGACAGAGACTTTGAAGCAAGCCGAAACCGACATGACAGTTCCCTTGCATCCAAGATTGAAGCAATGTCGTTCGTGATGGTTTTGGAATCGGAAGCTTCACGTGTAAGCCTGCTGTCAGGAAGTTCAATGCATCGGCTGACACATCAGAAAATTAGGCCAGGTTGTCGTGTCCTGGTTGAAATGGAAGCGCCCCCGGCTACGACTCTACGATCACCTGTCCTTTGCACCTGTTTTTGCTTTCCCGGCAGACTTTCAATACAAAAGGAATGTCCTATGCAGTCGCAGGCCAAACACCCGGATTTAGGTGCTGTGCTTCCTGACCGTACCACTATCTTGGGCGCAAGCTTGTCATTCCGCGTTTGACGAGAAATCCTGTTCAGTATTTTAGTAGAACATGAGAAACGCCTGAAAACTGCAAGTTTGCGCAAAACGAAGACTGGGCTTGATAAAGTTTGGACATGTACAGGCTGCCACGAAGCCTGCCTGAAAACGTCATGAAAATTCGATTGCAGCCATGGACAGCAGTTCTGGCTTCAAAAATGCTTCCTACTGCAGTGAACGAGGCTTCCGAATTATCACTGCCTTCATCAGAAGGGCCTTCACACCTGCGAAGATTCTAAGCAAAAAGTACTAGTAACAAGAACGCTATTAGGTGGAGGCCATCGCAAGTAGGTGGAGGCCATCGCTACTAGGAACTAGAAGCTGTCCACTAGATATTCTGGATACAAAAAGTCCATGTCCAAACAGCCGAGCGGTGAGTTTCAGACTCCGTGCTCATCGCGCTCTCTCTCTCTCCCTCTCTCTCTTCCCACACGGCATTGAGCATGTTCTGTCCGCCTCCAGGAGTGTCATCTCGTTCAGCTTCTGTTCGCCTCCTGAAGATTCGACACTTTCAATCGGCTCGGGGGAGAAGAGTAGCGCCAGCAAGTCGATGTGACTGCACGGTAAGCGCAAGTGTTTTGGGGCTTGGCTTAGCTGAGTTTTAGTTCGGCCCTTCGCCTCGCCGTTTGAATACAGAAGCAGAAAGCAATGGCCGTAGATGGCTTCGCAAAGGCGAACAAAGGTTTGGACGATTTGGTTTGGCGTGGTTTAAGTTTGAAGAGCCCCGGGGTCAGGGAAGGGAGGAGTGCCTCCACATACAAGCTTAATGGTCAGTGGTGTGTTTGTTGCTATGATTTGGCTTCAGTTGGATGGCTTGCTTTGTTTGTACTTGAAAATTATGATGTGGTCTTGGAAGGCAAACAAAGCCTGGCGCAAGAGTAGTAAGTCCTGTTGGGCTTGGCTTTAGCTTTGTTTGTTCCAACACACTGGAACTGGAAGAAGCTTTGGAAGTAGGAAAGCATGGGGATGTCCTGGCTGAGAGAGAGAGAGGGACAAGAAAACGAGTTGGCGATGCACGCAAATAAACTGATAAGGTGTCCGAATTTGGCATGGCTTTAGTAGCCATACAAACTAGAAGGGGGTTGGAGGAGGTGGAAGCATGAGTCTTCAAAGGGGTCTTGCTGTTGCTGATACCACATTCAATGGCGTGGCTTGGATTTGGTTTGGCTGCTTAGGCGTGGACTTGACTTGGGGGCAAGCCGTGTGTCAGTGACGATGTAGGGGAGGAGGAGGAGAAGAAGAAGCAGGAGGAGAGGAGGAAACACACCCTCCCTTCCCTCTTCCGTTTGCGCTTCTATTCCCTCCTCCCTTCCCTCCCCTTACCGTTCCCCTTCCCGTTTCCATTGCCCTTGCTCTCCTCTCCTCCCTCTTTTCCGTGCTTAAAGGGCTGGAAGATACTGCAAGGAAAAAACAGTTAAACAAGTTGAAATGCCAACTATATACATATATATATATAAGACTTTCAAGTCTTTCTTTTAGTGTCAGTCAATTTTAATCTACGAATCCGTATCCATGACTGGTGAGCAGCTGAAACTCAAGTCCAAACTCCTCAGTCCAAGCGGTGGCCGCAGTTGGTGCAAAATAGAGCAGAAGGCCTACATGGAAGCAATGGCATGGATTGAGGCACGGCCATGAATTGATGGATCGAACGCACGGCAAACACTGCAAGCAAAAGTCTAGCGGATGAAACGAAATGTACATTAGTTATTTGCGGCGCGGATCATTCTCAAACCAGGGAAGTTGAATCCAAGTGGCTGTTGCAAACGCTCTCCACATGACGTACAGAACTTGCGGACTCGTTGATTCATTGCCTGTGGCGACTTCAACCGTGACATAACCAAGGGCATCAAGCGAGTATGACTTGTGAACTCAGATATCCGCGTGCAGCATGAGTGTACTTCTCCACTCAGCTAAGCAGCGCTTGGGCCCTTCTTCAGGTGACGTTGAACTGCAGCACCCATGAATTCCTGCAAGTCATGTTGCCCACAAGAATCGTCAAAACACGTTTGATTTGAGCATGCTGTGGTAGGCTAAATCTCGATATGCCAACAGGATTTAAATATATATATATATATTGTGTTATGACCACCAACCACTTGAAGTTGAATCAACAATCTGGCCACGTCCTGCTCAGTGCCGATGTGATTATAAACGCAGGATGGACTGGATGCACCCCTTGGTTTCGCAAACATTTGCAAAATGCTGAAAGATGCTGAAAGGCTAGCCGTCTGGAATGCATTTGGCTATGTTTGGTTCCATCTCAAGCAAGCAGCCAGTATGGAAAGGGCGTCCCGGATCCTGGTCCATAGGTGGCCTCAGCTGCTTCATTAGTAGCCTACTAGGTAGGCTGGAGGCCATCGCTACTAGAGTGGAAGCCACCGCTACTAGGGTGGAGGCCATCGCTACTAGGGTGGAGGCCATCGCCACTACTAGGGGAGGAGGCCATCGCTACTAGGGTCCATCGCTACTAGGGTGGAGGCCATCGCTACTAGGGTGGAGGCCATCGCTATTGGGTTGGGCCATCGCTACTAGGGTGGATGGAAGCCATCGCTATTGGGCTGGGCCATCGCTACTATAGGGTGGTACTAGGCTGGAGGCCATTGCTACTAGGGTGGAGGCCATCGCTACTACATCGCTACTAGGGTGGAGGCCATCGATGCTAGGGTGGAGGCCATCGCTGCTAGGGTGCTGCTAGGGTGGAGGCCATCGCTACTAGCGTGGAGGGTGGAGGCCATGGCTACTAGGGTGGAGGCCATCGCTACTAGGGTGGAGGCCATCGCTACTAGGGTGGAGGCCGTCGCTACTAGGGTGGAGGCCATCGCTCCTAAGGTGGAGGCCATCGCTATACTAGGGTGGAGGCCATCGCTGCTAGTGGAGGCCATCGCTGCTATAGGGTGGAGGCCATCGCTACTAGGGTGGAGGCCATCGCTGCTAGGGTGGAGGCCATCGCTACTAGGGTGGAGGCCTAGGGTGGAGGCCATCGCTGCTAGGGTGGAGGCCATCCCTCCTAGACTAGAGGCCATCGCTGCTATAGGATGGAGGCCATCGCCGCTGCTAGGTGGAGGCCATCGCCGCTGCTAGGGTGGAGGCCATCGCCGCTGCTGGGTGAGGCCATCGCTGCTAGGGTGGAGGCCGGTGGAGGCCGTCGCTACTAGGGTGGAGGCCATCGCTGCTAGGGTGGAGGCCATCGCTGCTAGGGTGGAGGCCATCGCTGCTAGGGTGGAAGGCCATCGCTGCTAGGGTGGAGGCCATCGCTGCTAGGGTGGAGGCCACCGCTGCTATAGCGTGGAGGCCATCCCTGCTAGGGTGGAGGCCATCGCTGCTAGGGTGGAGGCCATCGCTATACTAGAATGCAGGCCATCGCTGCTAGGATGGAGGCCATCAAAGGCCATCGCTGCTAGGGTGGAGGCCATCGCTTCTAGGGTGGAGGCCATCATCGCTACTAGGGTGGAGGCCGTCGCTGCTAGGATAGAGGCAATCGCTGCTAGGGTGGAGGCCATCGCTGCTATAGGGTGGAGGCCATCGCTACTAGCTAGAGGCCGTCGCTGCTAGGGTAGAGGCCGTCGCTACTACGGTGGACGCCATCGCTCCTAGGGTGGAGGCCATCGCTACTAGGGTGGAGGCCGTCGCTGCTAGTAGCTACAGTAGGGTGGAGGCCGTCGCTGCTAGGGTGGAGGCCATCGCTACTAGGGTGGAGGCCATCGCTACTAGGGTGGAGGCCATCGCTGCTAGGGTGGAGGCCGTCGCTGCTAGGGTGGAGGCCATCGCTACTAGGATGGAGGCCATCGCTGCTAGGGTGGAGGCCATCGCTACTAGGGTGGAGGCCGTCGCTGCTAGGGCGGAGGCCGTCGCTGCTAGGGTGGAGGCCGTCGCAGCTAGGGTGGAGGCCATTGCTTCTAGGGTGGAGGCCATCGCTGCTAGGGTGGAGGCCGTCGCTGCTAGGGTGGAGGCCATTGCTTCTAGGGTGGAGGCCATCGCTACTAGGGTGGAGGCCATCGCTACTAGGGTGGACCTAGAGGACAGTTCGTCCAGAAAAAGTAGGACCAAGCCCGTCACGATCACAAAACTTAAAGCGCTAAAGCCAGAGGATGTTTTCACGGCCAAATGGTTTTCGTACATCCTGCCGTATCAAAAAAGCAGTTTTTCACGTGTTGCATTTGGGCCACCGTCAATATAACATAACATGTTGTAAAAGCTCCGCTACCATACTTGCGATGACATGCGCACACAGCGTTTGGCAACACATGTGCGCTTGGCAGTTTTCTTGCATCGCATGACTTGGCCACCGCAGCTTAAAGTAAGTGTTTACCAGAAGCTGTACCATGAGTCAGCAGAAGAAAACATATTGGTAAACAAACATTAAACATATATGCTTACCAGCCCAAGAGTTGTGGAGAAGGTGCGTTTTAGGGAAGGTGAAGGAGGTTACATGTAACGTAGGTTTTTGTGAAAAAGAAAACATACAAACCTGCACGCGTTTACAACAACTTCACCTGTCCTTTCGGGAGCGCTTTGCGTCTTCGATCGAGTCCGGAGTCCCAGTTTCCGTGCGTTTATGCGTGCACGCAGACACACACACTTTTCCTAGTGACCCATGCTCTTGCGTAAGCTCTCAGGTAGAGCGAGCAACCAGCGTTCCAAGAACCTGCCTTGGGCAGTCGACAAACTTGTTACACGTAACGTGCGAGACGCCTTCTTTAAATAATCTTCATCCATCCAAATGGCAAATTCGCCACTGTTTACACAACGCCTTGAAAAGAAGACGTGGTGGAGCAAATGGAACTTTGGCCTCATACGCCAAACCCAATTATTTGCAGCGATTGCTTCTGAGGCTAGGCCCAGGTACACTCGTACGAACACAGACCACAGAGTTCGGACTTGGAGCAGCTGTTCTTGAGATAGAAACCACCCTGCTGTATACAAAACATGCAACGCTGTATTGAGCGACCAAAGCAGGCTGCAAAACTTCGGAAATTCACCACTGTGAGGTTCCAGGGTCGCTTCCAGCCAAAGAGACACAACATAGTTGTCGTACCCCGACCCCAAACGAAGTTCAGCATATTTCTCAGTACCCCAATTCAATTTTTTTCGCGTCAGCTTCTTAAGACGGAGTGGTAGAGCATGTGACTTGGCAAACGCACGCAAGGAAACCGTTGCTGCAGCTAGCCGCTCGTCAATGTTCGATGCAACAAAAGCATGGTTGCCCTTGATCAAGATGTGAAGGATGCTCCCGAGGAGGTCTCTTCCAACCCCTAGATTCACCACGTGTAACAAGTCAGGCATAATTTGATCCGTGGAAAACCCAACTAGTTGCGCATAGGGGGGTGAAATTGCCCAAGGGTCAGCCACCATGTATGTAGACCAAAAGTCAGCATGCTCAGATGCATTGCAAAAAGCATAGGTCATGTCACTCTCGTTGCCCTTTCTGGCCAAGCAAAGCCAGCATATCTCAGGGTTTCATGTGAAGCTTGCTGCCCCAAACCCAAAATCCAAAACATGCTGCGTGGGCACACCTTTGTTTTGTTTCAAAACATCTCCCACCTCATCTCGGGAATAGTCCCTCGTGAAATGAAAGGCTTCTCGCATCGCTTTCCAGTCTCCACGAAAGCCACAGACGTAAAACCAGAGCTTGGATACCTTGGGATTGGGTTGGGGAAGTGGTTCAAACAATAAAGATAATTAAGGACCACTTGTCACCTGTTCGGGGAAATGCTTTTGAACACGGGTCAACAAACAACCAACATCGAGACAGGAAGCAGTGCGACGGTGCAAAGACGTCGCATCCCGAATTTTGACTCCAGTGTTTGCCAATCGGTTGAATGAGGCCACTATTTGGGTAGTCAACGCATCCAGGGTCAAGTTGATTCCCTGGTCAGAGATCGCGTAGCGAGCTGCAGGTAGGACAGCTATGGGGAATCTGGAGGACATGGAGTTGGTCAAAAACGGAGATGCATCCGAGGTCCAAATTACATACATCCAGCTATCGTTCAATGCGTTTATCTCATCACCTGAAGGTTGCAAAACAGAAAACACATATGGTATAGGTTCCATCCAACCAAAGAGCGCACCCAACCAAAAAAACAAACGTCAGTTGGGAGACCCGGGAAAAACCTGGGATAGAATGTGCAAAAGTGTTTGTTCTCAGGTCTTGAATCCAAGATTCAATACAGAGTGCACCCAATACTGCTCATCAGGTTTGGGTCTTTGGATAGGACTGGATGGTTTGGATAATCCCTCAAGATTCCACGCCAGTAGCGAGGCAGCTCCCTCACATCATCCACCAGAGCTTCGAGATATCCTTCAGATATCAGCGCGGATACCTGGTTTGCCAAAAAAAAGGCAAAACCCTCAACACAAACACGAAGAAAGCAAAACCAGAACCAGCGTGACAACAAACAGTTTGTCCATGGTACCATGTCTTCCGGCAACAGGCAAGGCCAGTCAACCATTTCGATCGTGGGATCATCAGCACTAGACTTCATGGGAACTGTCACTTTCGTGATCCGGCAGGGTAATGCACTTCCACCTCGTTGAGCTCGCTGAAAAAGTCCATCCTCCCTCGTAGTCCTTATATAACACGATCGCTCGATTCCGCCCACGCACACATACGCACATTCCCGGAGGTGGGAGGAGATATGGATGGGCAGGATTGCAGACTTTAGATGTATTGGAACTGCTGGTGTGTAAAGCCCTGTTAATTTAGAGTGATTGAGCCACAAGCAAGGTGGTCTTGAGGGGTACCTGATGCCACGCCGAGCTTCGTTACCAAGTCTGAATCGTAGATTTCAGCCAGGTTCCTTGTGTGTTGCGCACTGGACCGACCAGTTCCAATCAAATCAGCAAGCCTGAGCCGAACGAAGGCGGCCATTTGGGAGGCACTATACTCTGTTCATTACAACTCTGGGTTGTACATGGGGCCTTCATTCGTTTGAATCCGAGCAACGCTCGATCCAACCTTTCCTTGAGGGATGGCATTGCCGCTGAAGCTAAACCTGCGTGGGGAGACACGTCAACGGTTGTGGAAAGCCACTGTGAAACAGGTTTGTTGCCATTGCGGCGCCATATATGTGATCATTTTTGCGCAAGCTTGTATCTTTCTAGATGGTTCTTGTCTGCGGGATTCTCGCAGGTCCCCCAAGCAAAACGGTCAGTGAACTAGCGCGTCTACAGGCAACGACTTGGTTTCTGCGGGGCACCTCCACACCTAAACAGAGGCCATAGTTATATAAGCAAAAACTATGTGGTTCAAGTGTTGGGGTTGTCTATATAGAAAGTATGAAGGTGCCATGCTAAGCAGATCCCACACAGACTCTATTTTTGAGTCAACCCAGTCATGCCTGGGCAGCCAATACATCGAGACATGGAGAGAGACTTCGCTCAGGCTGCTATGGCCTTGATCCTACTTGGACTCTGACGCCTTGCGAATCTCGGCCACCACGGCACGTGCTTGCGCACGGGCGAGTCGACAGGAATCCACCTGAACAAGGGAGATATATGACGCTGCAATATATTGTTTGCGTTTTGGCCTTCACTCACCCCCATTGAACCATTGTTGAATGTGGCAGTTGTGCGTTTTGGGTTTGTTCCCCCCGCACCGCTTCTGAAGCTTCATCGAAAAGCTCCGTCATGGCGTCGTCAGACACAGTGCCAACCCTTAAGTGGCCAGGCATCAAAAAAACATGGAAGATAGGCAACTAGGGATTTCACACACATATATGTGCCACATGTATTTGAGGCCAATTGCAATTTAGGAACCTTTCAAGAAGCGATTCCAAAGTGCGCTTGTGAGCATTGACCACAGCACGGAGCTCATGGTCCTTGGGAAGCTCGAAGATCACGTTGCAGTTGTTCATCTCCTTCTTGAGCTCCTTGCCTTGTTTGTTTTGGAAGCAAAAATTTGTATCAATGGATATCAATGGCAAACAAACAAGTAAAACATGAACCAAACAGTGCCAAACAGTTGAAAGTTACGCGCGGTATCTCGCTTGTCCTTGGCAGTCTGGGGCACTTCCTTGGCGGCGGCCTTCTTGGTCTTCTTGACCTTGCCGTTCTTTCCATTGCCACCGCCACCGCCGCCACCAGTCTGGCTCTCCGTAGCCTTGTCAACGATACCAGCCAAAGATCTGATGGAGATCCCTGCGCCTGAGGCAGGCTTTGAGGCACTGAGCAAGGGCATGGTGCTGGAATCCATCAGAGCAGCAACCCCTGCTGCATGCGGCTTCACACTGACATTCGCCACGCCCTCCACAGTGCATGTCTCCTTGTCGGTGTACTTTCCACCAACAAAGCACCAGAATCGAGTGGATTCTGGGTCATCAGGAGCGTCTGCATCCGGCACAGGCTCATTCTTCTTCAAGATCGCCGTGATCTTGGTCCTGGGATCATTCGATTTTTTACATATGTGGAAACTTTTCTGTTCGGATAACCTACACAGGAACAAAAAGAAGAAAGGTCCATCACTGAAGCTGAAACAAGTCACTCACTGAACCCTTTCGCCACCATCTCACGGATGGTCAGAAGCTCACGGCCAGTTTCCACCTCGGAAGCTTGCTTCTTGCTCACAATTAGGCTGCACTCTGTGGCGTCCATGTTCTCCTTGCTGGCAATCCAAGATCTCAGAAGGTCACTTTTCTCCTCCAAAGGGCGCACGGAAACCCTGGAAAGCGACCCGAAAGTCACAATTGGCAGTGAACTAACTTTTTGAAACATTTCGATTGAAACCCGAGTCCTGCCGGTTGCCAGCCCAGAGCCGAGACATCTCTGGGAACTTGGCTGCGTCAACGTTCGCCATTCGACGGGCAAGCCTGGCATGTTCCTTCCGATGTGTGGAGCTGTTCACCACTCCAGTCAATAGTGGATCAACAACGTCCACCTCTGCTCCAGGCTCTGCGGCCTCTGCGGGCTCTGCTGGCTCTGCTGGCTCGGGCTCTTCTGGCTTGGGTTCAGGAGGAACTGCCTCTGTGCCCTTAGACACTTGCAAAGCGGCCGGCTGAGCTGCAGCTTGAGCAGGCCTTGAGGCCGCTGCTTCACCCCTCTTCGCAGCAGCAAGCTCTGCTGAGTCAGAGCCATCATTGGCCTTCAACAGGCCTGGGAATTGGTCAGCCAGACCCTGCATTGCGTTCCTGACAGCTGGGTCCTTCACAAGCTTTTGCATGGTCGTCCGGCAAGCCAGTAGTCGATCGCACTTCTCAGACTCCAGGTGGTCAGCGCCCGGAGCCGCCGATGCCGATGGCCCCAACCTAGTTTCACTGCCGGGAAGCAGCAAAACCTGTATTTGCTGGTTTTGCTTTCAAAGTCACCCAAAAAAATCAAACCCATTTGACTGACAGGGCACTCTGACTGAGACTCATCAGGCAATCCTGCACCCTCGAGATTGGAAGCTTGACGGCTCACGTCTTCCTGTCCGAGGATAAGTGTCTCACACGACCTGAACTGGAAGAGCTCACCGATTTAAGCCCACGTGGTTCAACTTCCAAAGAAACTTGGTGGAAGGGAACCAAGAAAACAGGCCCTCAATGAAATAACCAAGTAACATCAGTCGATGGCAAGAGTGGGAAGACCCCAGCACCACAGTCTTCTTCTCGGCCTCATATTCGACGCGCGTGATATTCACATTCAATATTTCAAAACTGGCCTGAAACCTGTTCATTTTTTGATTTGGTAGAGTATTAAAATGAAAATGTTGTTGAATCAATCCAATGCACAGCCTTGGCAGGGGTCGGAACAGCTTGGAGGCTCTTTTGCAGCTGATCCTTAGCCAACTCGCCAGCCTCATCAATCGGCTTCTTGGTTGGCTCCACCGGCTGGGTTGGCTCGACCAAAGCAGCAGCAGCATCCTGACGAGGGACATAAACGGTCGCCGGGGCTGGCGGCGGTGGCGGAGGATCATGGCTGGAGCCAGTGGATGAAACAATGTCATCATCACCCATAGCAGTGCCATAGCATCATCATCATCTTCTTCTTCACCGTCCAAACTGTCGTCACCGAACTCGGTCCCGCTGCTGTATCCCAAGTCAATCGTGACATCACCTGGCGGCGCATCGTCGACCTCCACATGCTCCATCCTCCTCAAGCGTTTCTGCTGAGGAGGGTCTGCTTTGCTGGCAGTCTCCCCACCAACAACAGCTCGTTTCTTGGACGAGTCTTCCACCTCAGCTTTGGGCTCCACAGCAGTCTCTTCTGGACTCTTCTTGTTCTCAACCTTGTACTTCTGCCAGAACGCTTTGCCTTCCGGTGAAGGGCCAACCATGGCCAGCAGAATCGACGTTGTTTCCTGCTCTGTGAGCTGTAGGTGAGCCTTCAGCTTGTTGAAATTCTTCCAAGTCAGCTGGAAAGGCAAGTTCGAGGGATCAAACTCACCAGCAGCGATCAACTCTTCCATTGAGATCACTTTCGATTTGCCCCTCTGAAGCTTTCCGGCAGCCGAAGAAGCATCACCAGGCCCCTTCCCAGTCACCCTCCTTGGAGGAGGATCCTTCTTCACTGGCTTGGACTTTGGTGCGCTGGTGCGACTAGGAGCCGCTTCCTTATTCTGCTCCTCACACAACGTCCTGGCCAAGCTTGCAAGTGCCTCAAAGCTCGGTGTGCATCGCGAAGCATTCTTGGGCGCCATGTCGACAGAGATCTAGTAGATCAGGACGCGAACACTCTCACAACTTCGAAAAACTGAAAAGTGCTCACGGTTCCAAAACATATCGATTGAACTATTGCAAAATTGACCTCAAAAAATGAAAAATCCAATTCACGTTTTTCATGCCGTTTTCCCGGTCATGAGAGTTTTTTTCATGGCCTTTTCACGTGTTTTCACGCTGGAAATGTTTTCGTGTTTTTCGTGTTTCGTGGTTTTCGTGCTTTTCGTGTTTTCCCTTGCTTCATGAATTTCACGCTTGTCGAAGCGTTTCATGAAAAAAAAGAGAATGACACGACTTGAGTGCTCTCATGATGGACTCTCATGTATTGTGAAAGTGTGAAAAGTGTCTTTTCACCTCCATCGACCCATGTACCCCTCATCGAAGCCCTGATCGTGTGTTATCAGGTTGAAGGTGACGAATTTACAGCGTGGCTCTTACCACACCCAAAATCAAATGAGAAGTTGCCTTTGAATGGTGTCAAAGGGAAGCTATATTCGAATCTAAGTATGTCCCCAAAACGATCAGGCAGCAGCATTTCGTAGGGATAGTTCCTCGAGGAGCTGGTCCTGGGCAAAGATCGAACACCGGTTGAAACAAACCAAGGTTTAAGAGGACACAAAATTGAAAAGACCCATTATAAGGATCATTATGGGTCTCTTCAACTTTGTGTCATCTCGATTCTCTTGGCACTTGAAGACCGATTGAACACAGTCTCGGATATATCTAGATGTCAACTAATCTGTGGCCTGCTACACATGTATTTATACGTGCATGAACTTCCACCCATAAGATTTTCTATGGACCAAACATCCAAGACTTCAAAAGAAGAAGTTCAATGAAGAGTTGAACAAAGAAGTTCAAAGAATGAATGAACAACAGACACACCAACGACAGAAGCGCCAACAACACCATCCCATTAATTTGGACAGGCTTCCCATCCAGGTGGAACTGTCATGTGTTTGCATCGCGCCAGATACTTCACAGCTGGCAGTAGATCCGCCTGCAGGCCAGCTGGGTCTTGTCAAGCCGAGGGTTGTCAGGGGCCTCAAAATTTCATGTGGTGAAATGAGGTTTCACCGGGCCTCTTTGGATTGGCAGGCAGTGCTTTCGGAACAGCTCCAAATCAGTAAGCGAAGGATCCAATTGTGGCGGATTTGGAGGTGGTGGCAAAGGGACCTTGGATGGGTGTATTGTTTTTGCGCACACAAACAGATTGAAATTTGCTCACCATAGTTTCCCTCACACGAGCCATGAAAAGAACGTTTATGAAAAGAACATCCCACCATAAAGGGTCCAAGAAACATGCCGTTGTTCCTGGGCAATCTTGGACACGAACTTTGCAAACTCTGGAGGGTAATGCCTGAGTTGCTAAAAGACATTGCTGGGGATGACCACTACCCACACACCAAGACAATTCTATCAAGAAGTTGATTCATTTTGTGAAAGATTTGCCTTTCATGGAGAAGACCCGATGTAATACGAGTTACTGACTTTCACGCATCTCCTTCTTCTTTCCAACGGCTCTCTTCACACCGTGTTTGTCAATATATGTTTTGGTTGTGCGAACTGGACATGCGCGTTGGTCCTCCCGGCTCATGTACCCAGCTCGCTCAACAATACTCCCAATCAAAGCCTCATCATTAGAGTAAACCACATGCGGCTTGGGGCTCGGTGATTGGAAAACGCCCATCCAGAAGCGACCGCTCCATGCCTTGGGCGGAGTAGTGGGCGGGCAAAGCTGTCAGACATCAATTAGGGTATATTCAAGCAGGTTTCGATTACAAAGTCTATTCTTCTTGGTGGGCTCCACATGTCATGACCAAAAGTTCCTTGAATTGTTGGCCAGATACATGAACCAATCCCCAAAGCTCCTGATACCGAGGGAGATAGTGTAAGAGTAACCACCGGAGGTTCATGTAACAGCATAGGAGTATCATCAAGGCCACTCTGCACGAGAGCGTATTCCCAGTTGCCACGAAAGTGTATTGCTGGTTGCCATATGGGCGGAAAACGTTCCGCCCATGGGTATGTTGACACCTGAAGACAGCCGGAACCCACAAGCCGGATCATTGAGAAAGGTTTCACTTCCAAAATGTTGTCATCTGAGACCTGCGCATTCTCGAGAAGCTTTTGCAGCAAGGCGCAAAAACCACCAAGGAACCGGGTTTGCGCCTCAAGATCTCATTTACAGCAATCCTCAGCATGCAACGCGCAAGCAACATCTTCTTTTGGATTGGGTGGACTGTGGATGTGTGATTTGTTTAGCCATGCATCCATCTACAGTAACACCACCCTGGCTTGGCCAACGCAAAGTTTATGACCAAGTGAGTCACAATGGTACTGCCCCAGTGCTGGCAAGAATCACAAACCCAGCCGATGTCGTCAAATCAAAGATCCGTGGATTGTGATCAATATCGATCGCCGCTCCCTTCAGGCCATCCTGACAGAAACAGCGAGGATTCTCAGTGGACTTGGTGGACTGGAGGGAGTTGGGAAATAGGGACTTGATCTTTACGCCCTACCACATCCACTGCCACTGTACATGGCACATTTGCTGCGTCTATGCGCACCAGGAAACGGCGCGAAGCGCAGATGTGATCTCACCACGGCCAGCAAATAGCTCACAGAAATCACGGTCCTAGGGGCGCATGGGTCCAGATTCATGTTTGCGCGCGGTAAAGTTGCCCAACTGAAGCACATGAGTACACAGTGACTTGAATCTTGCAGGTTGCCCTATTTGGGGGATAGGGCACAAGTACTTTCACTCGCACACATACACTTTGTGGCCTCTCCACTTCTTTTGGTACTTCAAGCCAAGAGTCCACTGTGTGGCGCAACTGTTGATTCCAGCTGACCAAGAGGACAAATAGTATAAACAAGGGAGGACATCGCCACATGAGCAATCCCTGGACCACCATAGTGACAGCCCTTTGTTTCGCAAGCGGGCTGTCCACACGTTTTGGGTTTGAGCTGAATACAATTGTTTACAGTTCGCTAGGAGTGAGCAACACAGCTATTGCTTCGCAATCTATGCAGTTGTCATGAATCATTGAACTGGATAGTCATACTTGTGATTTCCCATGCATCATTTTCAACCTCGGCCACATCTGAAGCGTGGTAACCCAAATCACAGGCTTAGGTGAAGCCCATGTTCACTGCACTTGACCTCACCCCAGGCCAAATGTGTACCCAGGAAATGCTGAAGACCACAAAGGCTATTTTCAGGCCCATGGGTTCTCCGTGCAACCCTTGCCGATGAATTTTCTGCGCTTCAGCTCAGGAACACTCAAGGGCCCAAGCAAAGCTTTTTTTCACTGGACTCATCCCATGCTTTTTGGGCTACTGCATAGGAACCCCCTGGCACGATGAGAAGAAATGAAAGCCTTTCGAATCTCACCATAGTTCCAATCCGATGATGTTCCACGCTTCTTCGAAGACGTGTCCCCAGAAATCTTCATGGTAAGTTTTGTGGTCTTGGGATTCTCTTCACCCTCATCCTCGCAGACCTCGGAAGGTTCAACACCTGCACCCCCATCCTTCTTCATGTTATTCTTGTATTGGGAAGGGCAGCAGGACCAAGAGATTCAAAAACCTGAGTCATAGCCGGCAGGCGGAGAACAGGGTTGAACACCAACTCAATATCAGAATCAAGGAAGCGGTGTCATACATGGTGAAAAGAAAACAAGCAAACAGGTTGTTATCAAGCAACATGATCCGGCACTTTGGCTGAAGTGTCACCACCAGTTTTGGAATGGGCCAAGGTGGCAGCCGCAGTATGGGTCTTCTCAACTCGACGTTGCTCTTCACGCAATCGCCTTTCCTTGGCCCTTTTCAAAACCTCAGAAACCCGCTCACGTGGGGTTGTACCAGGCACCGGTTCCACATGTGATCCTTTACCCACCACTGGTGCAACCGTAGCAACCTTTTCAACTGGTGAGGTCTTGTCCACAGGTCCACTGTCGGTCGCCTCTGGATTGCCTTTGGACTCAAAGGCAATCTTCAAAGCTTTGAGTTGGTCCATTACCCTGTGCATCTTCTCGTCCGAAAGGCTTGACGAACCCGTTCCCGAGCCCAGGCCCGAAGAAGAAGCTACCGTGGACAAATCAGACAGACCTGTGTAGGGAAGCTCAGCAAGATCACTGGGCAGGCGTGCAGAAGAACACATGTACTTGGGATGTAGAGACGGTCGGCCACAAGGAAACTGATTTTACAAGATCTCATTAGTGCAGTTTCAAAATAAGAATGCCATGCAATTTCATCAACAAGTGCCCAAAGTTCCTTTCTCTTGGGCCAGCCAATCTTCACAAGCTTGGCCTTCATCTTAGCTAAAACCTTGTTCTTGGCACCTGTGGACCTCTTCATGAGCCGACGCATTCGTGAGACCTGAGCGGACAGCAAACATGGGGCCTGGTGATAGGTTTTAGGTTTCAATCAACCGTTCCTTGTGTGTGAAAGCTAAAGCTAAAGCAAGCTGAAGCCCTGGCCAGCTTCTTGACGATGACTCCATTTTTGAGCGCCCAATCTTGAACAGCAGGAAGACGGGCAGACAGACCCGATGGAAACAAACCATTTTCTTGGTAAAAGGAGAGTATCGCACGTTGAAGTGTGTAAGCGGACATCTGAGGGGTCTGTTTCGACCTGTTCACGCTCCCCTTCACTGTTGCCAGCACCACCTTGGTTTAGGTTCACAAATCCGTTTGCAAATTGTTATCTACTTGCTCAATGAACATGTACCAAACCGCTGGGATTGTTTCAACAAGGTACATGACGATTCACAACCAAATCCTTTATTGTTGGTCTCTTTGAGATCTTGCCACTGTGGTCGACCACCAAAGTCATCCCAGCCTGCAACAGCCAACGAGCTGTCATCTAATATATATATATATATTGTTATATATATTGTACACTATATATATATACACATCATATATAGGGTTCTGTTCTATCTGAAACATGTCGAGACCATCTCGATTACGCTAACTTTGGCAGTACTTTAAATAGAGAGCACAAGCAATTTGCACATTCAGCCGCCAATCCTAAAACATATTATCAATCTGTTCACTTGCTATAAAGTGAGGAGGTACCAGCTGGCCTCCTTCACGCGGTACTCACAAACATTGAGCATTCCCCCTTGTCTTCTTCAGACTCGATGGAGCCCGAAGAATGCGAAGATTCATCATCACTAGAGGCCATTGCAGAAAACGCGCCGAAGAACGAAGAAAGAGGTTGCCCTGGTGTGGTTCGAGCTTTTCAGCTAGCGACATCATCCAAAAAGAATAGATGGAGTATGAAACAATCCAATGAACCACTGAATCGACTGCGCAATCCCTTCCGCTTGTCCCCAAGGGCGGGGTTTCGCACCACGGCTTGATCTGGCGCTGAGGACATGATTGAAGTGAGCCTGGCTTGCGCGGGCGTGAGGTTGGCCGCTGGGTGCCAAATCTTAAAGTTGAGACATGACAAAGTAGCTCAACCATGCACCAGCACATTTACAATGTCCTCTTTGCATGATTTGCAACACACTTTGAAGGTTTACACTAAACAGAAGATGCTCACCCAGCTGTTTCGTGATCGTGCGAAGACCTGACCTGTTCACCACTCGAATAAAGGATCAAATACACTGCGATTGAGGATACTTTCCACATCAGCCAGTATAATAATGCATCAGGATTAGTAAAAATACAGATCAAACATCAAACGGGTCAGATGGACCATGTTGCGCAAGGAGATCCGGCGGTTTCGCAGAATTCAGCCTGCCCGATGCGCGCCAGCTGCAGCATCCGATATGTTTTGATTTGTTTCATGTTTGGGAACCATGCACATGAACATTCCGCAACTTGTTCATTTCCAGGCGTCAAACCCACACCGGCAGCACATGAAACATAGGAATATACAACCACCCAGGCCTCAACTTGATCAATAAGAGACGGGCAGGAAGCTGCGCGCATATGGAGAGCGAAGCGTGCCCCGCGGTCAGAGATCGGTCAAAGATCGAGACATACCCATGTCGATTTTCATGTTTTACATATGTATGCATCATCTTATTGGAAAAAACACGATTGGCCCAGGCCCATCGCCATTTCTGACCAAAAACATGGACCATGGAAAGTACGCTACCGTCCTGACCGACAGTTCGTGCCAAGAAAGCGTGGCGATCCAGCGGCAGGTTTGTCTCACAGGCTTGCCCACACTTGTGAACGCATGGCACTGAATGCAATCACTTCGTTCACATCCATGAATCTATCAACGAATCAAGTAGACCCAGGAAACACACTATACACAACCTATAGTGTGGCGCAAACTGCTGGATTTCCAAGTTCCGTGTCGAACTGTGAGAAAAGGCTTGGGCGCCTTCAGTGACACACGAAAACCAACGTTTTCACGCATTACAAAAGAATAGCTTCCACAGAGCCCATATACAACTCAGCTAACTCACACCACGCAATACACGTGATTCCTGGCAAATTCCACTTTAGTGTGTTTCTGTGAGTGCAATTATAAAATATGTCTATATATGACTATATTTGTTTTCCTTTTCCTCGAGCCACATTACGAAAAGCAGCAATATATATTGCAGCTTTTCAGAGCCAAATGCTGTTTTCACGGCCAAATGCTGTTTTCACGGCGAAATGCTGTTTTTCACGGCCACATGGTGTGTGTTTTCACGGCCATATGGTATGTGCTACATTCTCACCGTTATCAGCCATAGTCAGTCGTTCTGTTTTTCACGGCCACGCCGTTTTTTCACGGCGACAGCTTGTATTCACGGCCACTGAAGCCAACGACCATTGACCCGAAAATTTGTGAACAAACCGCCCCGTAGGGAGGCCATCGCGACTAGGATGGAGGCCATCGCTGCTAGGGTGGAGGCCGTCGCTGCTAGGGTGGAGGCCAT